GGACTGTGATAATTATGATAGCGGGGGGGATAGATTATTCGACGAGCTATAATCGACTGGTATCTCTAAGAAAGAATCCCATCACCTATTGGTAACCAATGAAAAAGAGCCTCCTAACTCAAACAACATGATACTAACAATAAAAAACTTGTAATTTTAACCTTCCATGTCTAACAAATCTAAATGCAATGATGCAGCATATTACTGTAGCACTGGCGCTTACAGCTTGTTTGGATGGTTATTACCTTGTATTGTATTGTATTGTTACTTTAAATACAATATTTGTTTTGAATGTTACTTAAATTTTATTGTATCGTATCGTTAAATCTTCCGTTACATAACGACCAAAAAGTGCCACTTTATGGAACGATCAATTTGGTGTGGTTGAGTCGTTACCTTTTTTTTTCATCTTGCCCTTCCTTATTATTAAATAATTCTATTTTATCCTTTACCTTATATTTTTATATAATAACTCTACCCCGTACCTTACTTTTTCTTTATCATATTATATTACAAGTTTATTCTTTATATTGTTGGTGCATTACATCATGAAACGACGACAAACAATATAATTTTTTCACACATTGTATACATAAAAAAACGATACAGTACACTACAACAACAACATACCCAGTATTATTCCATATTATGGGGATACAGTATACTACAATACAATATTATATGATACATAACAACCATCCAAACAAACTGTTAGTACAGATATACAACAGGAGCCACGACACACTTATGAACAGTGACACATCAGTTACCATATTATCATTGGCCCAGTAGCTACTACCATAGGGTCACATTTGCTGTCATTCTAAGGGGGAAACATTAAAAATAAAAAAATCAAATAAAAAATAAAAAAAAACCTTAACACGCATGCAAACAGAAAAAAAAATCCTTTTTTTAATGTTCAAACAAGCAATATAGTGTGGTGTATGGAGTATGGACTGTGATAATTGTGATAGCCGACTAGCACATCCGACTTAGAGTTTATTAAAGTAAAATAATTATTCTTCTACTGTCTAGCGAAGAAAAAATATGTGATTCTGAGTAAGAGTTATTACCGTTTCCACTTATTCTCATCAGGTGGATCAAAAGGGTGTTTCGCCATTTTTCTTCTACCAAAATCCCTTAAGGTAAGAAAATTTGTACTACTACAACTGCATCAATGTACTACTCCAACATCATCAGTGATGAGCCCTAGAAAAGGTGTTTTCTGTTCTTTTTCCTATTCTTAAGAAATCGTCAAATAACAAGAGGAAAAGGAGACAACAATGGGGTCAAATGTAAATACAAAAATGGCTCCAACTTTTGCTCACATTTGTTGTCATTCTAAGGGAAAAACATTAAAAATAAAAAAAAATAAAAAAAAAAATAAAAAAACCTTGACAGACATGCAAACAGAAAAAAAAATCCTTTTTTTAATGTTCAAACAAGCAATATAGTGTGGTGTATGGAGTATGGACTGTAGTAATTATGATAGCGCGGGGGCGGGGGGAGGGATAGATTGTTCGACGAGCTATAATCGACTGGTATCTCTAAGAAAGAATCCCATCACCTATCGGTAACCAATGAAAAAGAGCCTCTTAACTCAAACAACATGATACTAACAATTAAAAACTTGCAATTTTAACCTTTCATGTCTAACAAATCTAAATGCAGTGATGCAACATATTACTGTAAAAAAATTCTTTTTTTAATGTTCAAACAAGCAATATAGTGTGATGTATGGAGTATGGACGGTGATAATTGTGATAGCCGACTAGCACAACTGACTTAGAGTTTATTGAAGTAAAATAATTATTCTTCTATTATCTAGTGAAGAAAAAATATATGATTCTGAGTAAGAGTTATTACCGTTTTCCGCTTATTCTCATGAAGTGGATCAAAAGGATGCTTCGCCATTTTTCTTCTACCAAAATCCCTTAAGGTAAGAAAATTTGTACCACCCCAACTGCATCAATGTACTACTCCAACCGCATCAATGATGAGCCCTAGAAAAGGTGCTTTCTGTTCTTTTTCTTTTTCATAAGAAATCGTCAAATAAAAAGAGGAAAATGAGACAACAATGGGGTCACATGTAAATACAAAAATAGCTCCTAAGTTATGCTCTAAAAATCAGATTGTCCCTCAACTTTCTCAAATAGACATTTCCCTCCCTTATGTCTTACGGAATACTACATTTTGTCCTTAACCTTTTTAATCCCCTCTCAAATACACATTCTAATGTTATAGGATTATAAGATATTATATTTTTTTCTTAAATTATGTCATACTTTATTATAAATTGTTATCTAATTTCAATTAAAATATAAATATATTTTTACTGAAATATATTTTCTGTTGTTTTATAATCTTTGTTTGAACATTATTATGTATGCTAGAGCCCGTTTGACCATGACTCCCGTCTCGGACGTGATTTGTATTTTACTCTTATTTTTTAGGGAGTCGGAGACGATCGAAGAAGAATTCTTTTTTCAAGGCTGCTGGGAGCTGGGCCCGAGCTCGGTTTGGAAGGAGGTGAGACAAAGCAGAATAATCTAACTGGAGGAGTGAAAGCTGATTCGTCCTCCGCAAGGAAGGAACGAGTCGGTTCTCGCATAATAGAATGTGATAGGGTGAAATTTTTATCACTTTTTTTCGAAATCAATGTTTGGCTATAAAATTTTTAATTTTCGTTTGAAGATAAATTTTGGAATTTTTCAAAAATTTAAAAAACTTCAAAAAGGTGTTTTTCAAAATTTTCACTCAAATCACTCACAAAGATTCATAAACAACCCGAAATTATATTCATGTCAAATACAACTCTAATTTTCAAATACCATTTTCACTTGAATTTTTTTTTTATTTTTTTCCGGAATTTTATAATTCTTAATTTCTTATGTCCAAACGCCCACTAAATTTGTACTTGTGCTCCACTTCCTCCGTTTATTCTCTATTGTTTACTTTCACATATAATTTATATTATATTAAATTTATTCTAAATTATACATTTAAGAATAAATAGAGCAATCCTTTTGTGAATTTGTTATAAAAACCTGATGCTTTTAATATTACATACATTATATATATATTTATATTCTCTCTCTCTTCTATTGTCAATTGCAAATAAAATTTTGATTTTTCATTGCTGGTTGCTATCAAGTGACTGCTACAAGCAAATCATGTTTTTTCCCCATAAAATTCCTTATTCTGCTCATTTTTTTCATTATTAAACGTTATTAACGTATTTTATTGCTACATAACAATTTTTTATTCATAAATAAAATTTGATTAGTTATATAGGTAAATGAATATGTAAATTTAAAAAAATAAAGAGAACATAATATCACGACACTATAATAGTAAAAAGAGACAAGTAAAAGAAAAGACATGGTTTTGTAAAACAAGTAAGTAATCGAAATAAATGAAAATTTGAAATATAGAACTCTAAATAAGTAAAGTGACAGATATAATTTCAGTAATTGGCAATGGCAGTATACACGATGGTTGAGTGTTTCCTTAAAATGTAGAAGTACAGTCTTTTCTTGATTTCCCTATCCCTTTCTCATTGAATTGCTCTCCTCCGTTGTCTTAGAGTTTCTGATATATGTGAATATATTTTCCCTGCACAATATATGCTATGTATATATAGAAGGATTACAAAAGATGTCCTAGGTGCCATTAGCAAAATGCCGAGTTTTTGGGGTTGGATTCCAATCAACACTTGCTTCTGCCATTGTTGCGATAAAAATAGCATGGGCTAGCTAATTTTCGAGCTGGTAAATGAAAAATAGTCAGTTTTTGCAAAGTAATTGAAAAATAGTCATTATTGTGTTGAAACACGAAAAATTCCAGCATAACATGTTAGATTATGGAGCTCTTGCATATAAAATTCCAGCATATTATCAAATTCCAGCACATTATGCTAGAATCTCATATGTAAAAAATTCAAACTCCAGCATATTATGCTGGAATTTTTCCAGAGTTTTAAGGGTGTTTTTGTGCAATTCTATTTTTACATAAAAATTGCTAAATTTCGATTACTTTTGAAACTGTGGTTATTTTTCAGTTATCGGTTGTAAATCTCACTATTTCTCATTTTTTCACATTTTTCCGCTTCAGCTTTAGACCTTAAATATTCACATTGTCTGGGCTTCAATTTTAGGCTTTCAACTGCTGGCTTTTCAGCCTTAGATTAGATGTAAATACTCCATAATATATTATCTTCTTTTTTTTTCTTTTTTTTCCGGATTAGATGTCATTTTCCTAATTCTTTGTGATATAAATAATATCAATTAAAGTTTGTATATTTGCTCTAGGTTGCCTAAGTATTAAATAGTATTTTTTTCTTTCCTAATCGGTTTGTGTATATAACTCGAGAAGATGACCGATCAAATGAATATCATATTTCAACCATGTAAGCAAAAATATGTCTATGTATAGTAACAATGTGGCGCTACAATCTATAAATCTTGTATCCGATCGCTGTAACAACAAAAAAATGTGAACAAACGAAACTGTTATAAAGAGGTTTGACTTACGAAACTGTTATAAAGAGGTTTGATCGTATATCTCGGTGGTGTTTACTTGGGAGCTCACTTAAACTACAGTACACTTTGCCTAAAGATCATTATGAACTGTTCCCAAAATATTATTCTACAGTAGAAACATACCCTCAACAAATAAAACAGAATCATAAAACTAGACTCACGCAGATTAAAGAGCACAACCAAGTTCATTAAGTTTTTTTTAGCAAGTGACCAACATCATAAGTTCTATTCTCATGTTACATAATTGATAAATATTTGTGATAAAAGTAATAAATTTCATTAAGAGAGGGGCCAAAAAAACAAGCCAGAATATACCAAAAAGTAGAAAACCCTTACAAAATGATATGGTTTTCTATGAATTGATAAATATTAAAAGCAAAACAGCTCAAACGATCAAAACAACATGGTTAGCCATCCAAGCAAAATCATCACAGAAGCACTAAATGATCGCAAAAGCCAAAAACAAAAGGGAAAACATATTTTAGCTGACAAAAATCCTTAATTTCATAAGCTGCAAACACAATACCACTCAAATTCATTACATCTTGTCACAAACAAGACAATAGGAAAGTATAGGGCAAGAAATGTGGGGAAAAAACTAGTGCTAAAGTAATAAGCAAAGTAACACTCATCTAGTCACCACCAGCCTTCTGGTAAACATAGGTAAGCCCACATTTACCACAATAGTGCCTGTCAAAGTGGTTAGCCATGAAAGTACCGGCACCACACTCAGCATTGGGACACTCCTTGCGGAGCCTCTGAACCTTACCGGAATCATCAACCTTGTAAAACTGGAGGACGGCGAGCTTAACCTTCTTCTTCTTGTGCTTGATTTTCTTTGGCTTAGTGTAAGTCTTCTTCTTACGCTTCTTTGCACCACCACGGAGGCGAAGGACAAGATGGAGGGTGGACTCCTTCTGGATGTTGTAGTCAGCTAGTGTTCGGCCATCCTCAAGCTGCTTACCTGCGAAAATCAACCGCTGCTGGTCCGGTGGAATGCCTTCCTTGTCCTGAATCTTAGCCTTAACATTGTCAATGGTGTCCGATGACTCTACCTCTAAGGTAATAGTCTTCCCCGTCAGGGTCTTCACGAATATCTGCATCTTTCCCAACTATGTGCACCAACTGAACAATTCAACAAGAACACAGATTCAACAAACAAAACTGGAATCAACCATATAAATCATGTGTACCCGTTACTGCATTATGCTCTATTAGGAACAAATCAAATAAAGAACAAATACTTTATCAATCAATGAATTAGGCCATGTATTCCAATTCGGGACAGGATTAAATGAAAAACGTAAATTCACTTGTAAGAATTACAAGAAACAATGATATGTGAAAATGGGGTCAGCTATATGAAATTCTCTGTGACTATTCAGTTTCATTTGAGCAAAATAAATGACTATGCTTAGATTACAAACAAAACCAGAGTCGACTATATAAATCATATTTACCCATTAGCTCTATTCAAGCCAAATCAAACAAAGAACAAATACTTCACCAATCAATGAACTAGGCCTCTATTCCTATTATGGCCCGGCTTAAACGAGGAGCATATATTACCTGTAAGAGATACAAAAAACAATCATATGAGAAAATGGGGCCAGCTATATAAATTTATTATACTATTCAGTTCTCTTCGAGCCAGATCAGTGACTACACTTTGATTACAAACACAACTGCGACTATATATATCCTCTTTACCAATTTAGCTTTATTAAATCCAAATCAAACAAAGAACTAACATTTCAAAAATTAATGTGCTAGGACTCTATACAATTAAATAATTGGAATTCCTCTGTAAACATTTCAGTCTATTAAAGACCAGATTAAATGAAAAAACGTACATAGCTTGTAAAAATCAGAAGAAACAATGACAAGTGCAAAAATGAGGCCAGCTATGAATTCTACGTAACTATTACATTCTATTTGACCCAAATCAAACAAAGAATACACAAAATATATTAACTTGTAAGAATCACAAGGAACTGTGATATGAGAAACAGAAAGCTACCACATCACTAATAATCCAAGTAACTAAATTTTTTGTGTTTTACTAATTAAAATCATTGCAAAAAAAGCAAAGGATAATGGTTTGATTATTTAGAGATAGACAGAAAAGGAAGCGAGAGAGAAATAGGAACTTACGAATTGCAAGGTGAGGAGTGCCGCTGCACAAAGAGAAGATAACGGCGAAGTGAGGGTTTGCAAAGAATTTAAGGCGGAGATTTGGTTCGAATTTGGGCTTCATTTGTAGCCTGCAATCATTCATTTGGGCTTGAAGGGCTTTTTAACACATTTGGCTGCTCGCCCAAACATAATTACAACCGCTAGCCAAATATATTGAAATATATACTTACTATGCATTAAATATGTATATTATTTATATTAGTATACAAAAATTATAATCCCCTCGTTTTAATTTATATGAATCTATTTGACTGAGCATAAAACTTAGAAAAATAGAGAAGACTTTTGAATTTGTGGTGTAAAATGAGGAATATATATTTTTGTGTGGCTATAAATCGTTGCATAAAGGTAAATTATTTTCAAATATGAAAAGAGATCATTCTTTTTGGCACGAACTAAAAAGAAAATAAGTTCACATTAATTGGAACAGATGGAGTATATTTTTCGGCTATTATTTTAAAGGGCGACTATACAGTATAAATTTTCTAACCTATACCAATTTAATGAGATATTATATATTATATAACAATTTAATGAGATATTAATTAGGTTAATCATAGTTGGGTTAACTGATAGAACTAGAGGAGATATCAGTCAAAACCTTAAACCATGAGAAACATTAGTGAGCAAGAATTTTAGGATAAGTACAAGTAAGAAATAACATACAAACTTAGCAGGATAAGTAGAGTGAAATAGATGAGTTTTTGCGAAAGTAATGTCATAAAAAGATACTTGACGAAGTGAAAGACATGTCCCACAATATGTATATCATATCTACAATATAAGTGATATATACAACAATAACAACAGCCCAGTAAAATTTCACTAATGGTGTATGTTGAGGATAGTGTGTATTCAGATCTTACATCTACCCGAGGGAGTAGAGAGAACATAATTGATATATAAATACGAATATTAAGATGGATATGCTATAAATAATTATATCCGACATAAGGTCTTAGTATCAACGAGACAAAGTCACTCAAAGTAGTTTGGCAATGGTTTACACTAACTTCTAATGCACCATATCAAAGTGTAAAGCCACGGTGTTTGAAAGGTATTAAATAAACAACACGACTTAGGCCTTATTTGTTTTTTTGAAGATTAACACGTCTAAATTTGAATACACGTCTGAATATCAAAATGTGCATTAAGATTAAGACATTCGAATCTGAATACACATCTGAATGTCAAGATGTGTATTAAGATATGAATACTAAATAATTAAGACTGTTTGATTTTTAACATCTGAATGTATAAAATTTACGTTTATTTGAAAATTAATAAACATAAAATTCAAGTAAAATACTAATTAATCTAATATTACATCACTAAAATATATAGCTTTTTAAAATATGACAGTTGCTGGTGGTGATGGCTAACGATAGTACTTGTGAATGCCGACTAAAAGCGATGGTTGGTGGTAGTTTAGGGTAGTAGCTAGTGGTGATTGGTAGTGTTAGCTATTATGATTGAGGATGGCGGTGGTGGTGGTGATATTTAATAATGGCGGGTGGTAGTGGTGGTAGTTATGATTGGGGAAGATGGTGGTGGGGTGGTGGTAGTTTATAATGATGGGCAGTGCCAACTATGTTTGTTGATGGTGTTGAGGTGGATAAGTGTTGATTGTCGTTAATGATGGTGGGTGGTGGTAGTCGACAATAGTGGCGGCTATGATTGGGGATGATGGTGGTAGTTGATAATGATAGGCGGTGACAGCAGTTAATAATGAATATGGATGAAGCATTTTAATGAAATTAAGTCTATGTTATAGATCTTAAAGATACAGACCTATTCAAACTCATTAAGTGGTTGTGAAGTAAAAAAAACAAACACATTTAACGATTAAGATCTGAATAATTAAGATTCAGACTTTGAAAATAAACGCACTTAATGTCTGAGATCTGAATGATTAAGATTCATACATTCATTAAGTGCAAACAAATGAGGCGTTAAAGTCTATAGAATTTTGAGTTAATTCATTTAACTTAAATCCATTTACAAATTGCAAATTAGGTGCCAAAATATCAATGTACATGCTGACTTGCAATTTGTCCGGAAGGCACAATGAAAATGGCATGGCATAGCCATTTTTACGGGTTGTTATTGAAAAATAGCTAGTATTTGCAATGTTATTAAAAAGTAGCCACTATTTAGTATGAAGATAAAATCTGGATAAAAATACCCAACTGAAAACTAAAAGTTACAGAGTAAGGAGTTGGAGTATGGAACCCCTAGTACAAACTTCCAGCATATTATATTGGAATTTCAGCATATTATGAATGTTTAGCACATTATACTAGAATTTCATATGTAAACTTCAGCATATTATATTACGTTAGAATTTTTCAGATTTTAAGGCCTCATTTGTTTTTTTAAAGATTAAGACGTCTGAATCTGAATACAAATTTGAATATCAAGATGTCTATTAAGATTAAGACATCTAAATCTGAATACACATCTGAATATTAAGGTGCGTATTAAGATCTGAATACTAAATGATTAAGACTGTTTGATTTTTAATATCTGAATGTATAAAATTTATCTTTATTTGAAAATTAATAAACATAAAATTCAAATGAAACACTAATTAATCTAATATTCGGTAAATAAAATATATAATATTTTAAAAATATAGTAGTTGCTGGTAGTGATGGCTAACAGTGGTGTTTGTGAATGCCGACTAGAGGCGATGGTTGATGGTAGGTTTGGTTGATAGTGGTGGTTCAGGGTAGTAGCTAGTGGTGATTAATAGTGGTGGCGATTATGATTGATGATGGTGGTGGTGAGTGGTGATAGTTAATAATGTCGGGTGGTGGTGGCAGTTATGATTGAGAAAGGTGGTGGTGGGTGGTGGGTGGTGGTATTTTATAATGATGGGTAGTGCCAGTTATGATTGTTGATGGTGAAGGGGTGGTTAGTTGTGGTAGTTGAGGTAGATGCATGTTTGTAGTTGAGAATGATGGTGGTGGGAGTGGTACGAATGACGGGTGGTGGTAGTCGATTATGGTGGCGGCTATGATTGAGGATGATGGTGGTGATGATGGTTGAGTATGGTGATGGTGGTGGTGGCATGTTGGTAGTTGATAATGGTAGGCAGTGGCGATAATTAATAATGAATATAAATTATAGCATCTTAATGAAATTAAGTCTATGTTATGGATCTTAATCATACATATTTATTCAAACCCATTAAGTGATTGTGAAGTTAAAAAAAATATGCTTAATGATTAATATCTGAATAATTAAGATTCAGATTTTAAAAATAAATGCATTTAATGTTCGAGATCTGAATGATTAAGATTAAGACCACTATTAAGTGACTAAGATTAAGACCACCATTAAGCGTAAACAAATAAAGCCTAAGTGTGTTTTTTTGTTGTGATTTTATTTTCACCTTAAAAAATAGCTAATTTTCGATTAATTTTGTAACTATAGCCGACGAGCAAGGCCGGAAAGAAATAGCTGCACGTGATAACGACGTCGTATGATCATCAACATAGCCAGAGTCGAAGATTTGTCTGAAAAAAGGAAAAGAAAAGAAGAAGAAAGTCGGAATCTTGTTGCGTAGTAGTGATCCTGTTTTTGTTCCTGCTCTCTTCTTCAGTAATTGCTGCCCAAAGAGCATTTAAAGACAACAACTAAGCTTCTAATTTGATGAAAAATCATCAAAATCTGTAATTGAAACTTGAAAATGGGAAGGGAAATGTGTTTTGAGTGTCTTCAACGTAAAATTCAATCAGATTTCTCAGACCAACTCATCTTCTGTTATGGTCTTTCCGATTCTCCTATTCCTTTTGGCTCTACTGCCGTCGTTCAGGTACACTTTATATTGTGTATTTGTATTTGTGTAGCAAGCTGAGTTATATGCTTGTTACTAAATATTAATCCTTTGAATTGTTGATTTTTGCAGCCATCAAATTCAAATGGAGAAGGGTTGCCACAGTTTCAGTTGACTTATATGCCCCTTCATAAAGATAGTTGCTTGGCCACTTACATGTATAATTCTTGTGCTTTCTTTTTTGTATGATTTTTTTTTTTAGTGTGTGTTTATAGTTGCTTGGCCACTTACATGTATGAATCTTGTGCTTTCTTTTTTGTATGATTTTTTTTTTGTGTGTGTGTTTGCATTTCCCATCCCCCACTTGAAAAAAGAAAGAAAAAAGGAAACTTTGTGTCTATGTGATAATAAAAAAAAGAAACTTTGTTTCTATGCGAAAGCAAGCATAGCTGGTTCCTAGTTTAGATATTAGAGGATTTTTATGGCTGACCGTAATTAGTTTGAGGCATTGTATCCCAACTCTTTCGCCTTTAAAGAAAGTGTTACTGTCTATGTGAAAGCTTAGCTTGTTTCAAGTGCGGATACAGTAGGAGGGTTGCGGTATGTTGATAGCTAGTATAGAAATAGTCGAATGAAGATGGATAGTGGATTCATCATTGATGATGAATAGTGGATTTTTACAGCTGATCCCAACTAGTTTTGGATTGATGGGCAGTTGATTAATACTGTCTACATTCTTTATGGAAGGAAATGACAGTGATGGTTATTGATCGTTTGAAGTGGCCGATTAGATCCTTTCAGAGAATGTTTGTGAGAACGAGTCAGATTGATATCGTCTGGCAAATTGTTTTTGTCAGACTCATTGATTTGTGCAGAGGGGAGTGTGGTAGCATATTATATGAGAATATTAAACTTTCTTGTAACTATTGCTACCTTCTATATGGTGGCACCCTTTTAGCACATCTTGAAAATTGCAATACTTTTTATTGATATAGCTTGACGTCAAACATTTTTGGACGTTCCAAAATAAAGAGAGTACCATATAAATTGGAACAGAGGGAATGTGTTATTTTAAGTTAAAGATATTGGCTTGTTTTGGCTGGTCTGCGTCATGCTAGTTTGGCCTTTTAAAAAGTTGGAATAGTATGTCACTCCACTTTCTCAAGTGGAAGCAAAGAAAAAACTAAAAGAAAACTTGTACACATTTGATAAGTAGTAGACTGATTCTTGTGGACATA